GGGGGGGGGGATCGGGATGGGGAATACATGTAAATCCATGGCTGATTCATGTCAATGTATGGCAAAAACCACTACAATATTGTAAAGTAATTAGCCTCCAACTAATAAAAATAAATGAAAAAAAGAAAAAAGAAAAAAATATACATGGCCAGTACACAAAGAAAAATGTGCTCAGCCCCAATTATAACAAAAAGAAATGCCCAATAAAACAAATGAGATATTTTTCAATTTATCACAATGCCAAAGACTCAAAAAGATGAATAATACTCACTGTCAGTGTCAGTGTGGATGTGGGGAAACAGGCATTTCCATTCACCGCCAGTGAGAAAGATAAATGGGAGCTTTTGTGGATGGCAGTTTTGCAATAGCTCTCTGTAGACACATAAAACAGAATAGAATGATCAGTCCTCTGCTTTTTCCTGAAATTGTTTTATTGACATAATTTAAGATTTACAGAAAAGCTGCAAGAATAAAACAAAGAGGGAATTCCCTGGTGGTCCAGTGGTTAGGACTCCACACTTTCAGTGCTAAGGGCCCAGATTCAATCCCTAGCCTGGGAAATGAGGCCCTGCAAGCCACACAGCATGGCCAAAAAGTGTTAAAAATAAAAAAGATAAATTAAAAAAGAGCAAAGAATTTGCAGATGCCCTGCTCTAGTTCACCTAGAGTCCACAAATGACAACATCTTACTACATCAGTGTTCTCTCTCCAGCTGCATGCATTTATTTATAGTTTATATATATTTCTATACTGTGTATTTATAGTCCATGTATTACATGTTTGTTTGTTTCCCAAACCACTTAGTAGTAAGTTGCAGGCATGATGTTCTTTTTCTATAAATACTTAAGTATGCATCTCCTCAAAGTATGGAATTCCCTTCCATAACCACAATACAATTATCAAAATCAAGAAATTAACACATTGATACAACGCTCTGCTCTAACCCATGGATCTCATTGGGATTTCACCAACTGTCAAAATAACATCCATTTCAGCAAAAGCAAATCCAAGATCATGTGTCACATCCAGCCATTATATCTCTTTAGGGTCCTTTAATATGGAGCAGTTCCTCAGACCTTCTTTGTATTTCATGAAAGGGACATTGTTGAAGAGTCCAGGCAATTTTTTTTCATAGAATGTCCCTTGGTTTAGGTTTGTCTGACACTCCCGGGGCTTGGCAAACTGCAGCTCACAGGCCAAATCTGGCCCACCTATCATTTTTCTACAACCTGTGAGCTAAGAATGGTTGTAATGTTTTTTAACCGGTGGGGATGGGAGCAAAAGACTAGTCCACAACACTTGAAAATTGAATGGAACTCGGTTTCCACGTCCACAGATGGAGGTTCACTGGAACACGACCTCACCTGTCCATTGCATTCTGTGTGGCCCTTTCAGCCTGTAACTGAGCTGTCATGACACAGGCTCATCCTCTTACCCTTTGCCTGGCTGCTCAGAGCTCGACAGATCACTGGCCCAGCTACACCTTGACAACATGCGTATCACCGTCACGCGGCTTTTTACTATTACCAGCGCACATCCATCATGTCAAAACAAGAAAAGGGGACATTGACCATCATACTTTTTTTATTGTGGTAAAACACACAAAATATAAAATTTGCCATTGTAAGCACTCTTAAGTGAACAGATCGGGGCATTAAGCACAGCCTCACGCTGTGCAGACATCGCCCCCACCCGCTCCAGAATTCTTCATCTTGCAGAACTGAAACTCTGCCCCCATTGAGCAATAACTCCCTGTTCCCCAGCTTCCAGCCCCTGGCAACCACCATTCTACTTTCAGTATCTATGAATTAAGGACTTTTTAAACAAATATTTATTTATTTATGTATTTGGCAGTGCCAGGTCTTAGATGCGACATGTGGGATCTAGTTCCCTGACCAGGCATCAAAACCAGTCCCCCCTGCACTGGGAGCCCAGAGTCTCAGCCACTGGACCGCCAGGGAAGTCTCCTCTAAGTACTTTTCGTGACTGGCTTCTTTCACTTAATGGTCTCGAGATCCATCCATGTTGCACCATGTGTCAGAATCCCCTTACCTTTTTGAATATTTATTTACTTGTGGCTGCTCTGAGTCTTTATTGCTGTGCATGGGGGCCTTGAAGAAGAACTAAAGAGCCTCTTGATGAAAGCGAAAGAGGAGAGTGAAAAGTTGGCTTAAAGCTCAACATTCAGAAAACTAAGATCATGGCATCCGGTCCCATCACTTCATGGCAAATGGAGGGGGAAACAGTGGAAACAGTGGTTGACTTTATTTTTCTGGGCTCCAAAATCACTGCAGATGATGGTTGAAGCCATGAAATTAAAAGACGCTTACTCCTTGGAAAGAAAGTTATGACCAACCTAGACAGCATGTTAAAAAGCAGAGACATTACTTTGTCAACAAAGGTCCATCTAGTCAAGACTATGGTTTTTCCAGTTGTCATGTATGGATGTGAGAGTTGGACTATAAAGAAAACTGAACACCAAAGAATTGATGCTTTTGAACTGTGGTGTTGGAGAAGACTCTTGAGAGTCCCTTGGACTGCAAGGAGATCCAACCAGTCCATCCTAAAGGACATCAGTCCTGGGTGTTCATTGGAAGGACTGAGTTGAAGCTGAAACTCCAATACTTTGGACACCTGATGCAAAGAGCTGACTCATTGGAAAAGACCCTGATGCTGGGAAAGATTGAGGGCAGGAGGAGAAGGGGACGACAGAGGATGAGATGGTTGGATGGCATCAAAACTCAACGGACATGGGTTTGGGTAAACTCCAGGAGCTGGTGATGGACAGAGAGGCCTGGCGTGCTACGGTTCATGGGGTCGCAAAGAGTCGGACACGACTGAGCGACTGGACTGAACTGAACTGATACGGGCCTCTCTCTAGCTGCGGAGCATGGGTGCTGTCTCAGGTGGGTGTGCGTGCTTCTCGTCACAGTGCTAGTTCCCCTCGTGTTACGGAGCACGGGCTCTAGGGCACACGGGCTTCAGTAGTTGCTGCAAGTGGGCTCGAGAGATGCGCCTCGTGGTGTCCAGAGCACAGACTTAGTAGCTGGGGCGCACGGGCTCAGCTGCCCCGCGGCATGTGGGATCTTCCCTGATCAGGGATTGCACTGGCGTCCCTGGCACTGCGAGAGGGATTCATAACCCCTGGACCACCAGGGCTGCCCTCCTTCCTTTTAAGGCTGAATAACATTCTGTGGTATGAACGAATCACATTTAGTTCATCCATGCATCCACTGACGGGCACGTGGTGTGCTTTTAAGGTCCAGTGGGTTGTGTATTTTTTAGTCCAATGAGATGGCAAAGCGTTGTGTTTACTGCGCAACGACACTATATCTGTGCTAAAAGAATACAATGCATGTCCTGGTCCACTGTGCCTAAAATATTTACTATTAGTCATCTATACAAAGACTGGCTAACCCTTGTTTTGTTTATCCTGGCTTCACAGCAGACTTGGGGCTGTCCTGCAGGTAGGATTCCATTGCACGCCAATGTTGGCATGGTTCCTATTTCAAATACAGGCTCAGATGCTCAACCTTTTTGTCCACAACTCTGTACAGGTTTCCCACAAATGCACTTGACTCTTTCCTCTCAACTGTGCCAACACAAGCCCTGTACCTGGCCCAAAACCATCCCCAGCCCCCACCCCCTCCCCCCGCCAGCCCTGTCCTTTCTTACCCAGACGTCAATCATTTCTGTATTTCCTGATTCCTCCCTTGCGCCCAGCCCTGGGGAAGTCGGCATTTGAGGAAGGGAGGGGTGGGGGTGGGGTGGGGGGGAGTGCTGCTTATGGAGCAGCTGTTCCTGCCTTCCCCACCAACACACCCACCATCTTCCTGAAATTAATCATAGAATCTGCAAACCACAGGGTCTGAGACAGGAGGACTCCTCAGTATGTGAATTACAGAACTTCTGAGTTTTCTAGCTCTTGGGTTAATAGAAGTTGAGAATGGAAGAAATACAGGACCTTAGACCAGTAAAATGTTAAGATTAAGGAATCTTAAGGTGCTAAGTTGTTAAAAAAACAAAAAAAAAAACAACACTGGGCTTCCAGGGTGGCTCAGTGGTAAAGAATCCAACCACCAATGCAGGAGAAGCGGGTCCGATCGCTGGTCCTGGAAGGCCTCACCTGCCACAGAGGCACTGAGCCCGCGCGCCCCAAGTACTGAGCCTGTGCTCTGGAGCCCGGGAGCCGCTACGACTGAGCCCGCGGGCCCAGAGCCCGTGGTCAGCAATCAGAGAAGCCACCACCACAAGGAGCCTGCCCACCGCGACTGGAGCGGAGCCCCCACCCGCCGCAGCCAGACCCAACACAGCCAACAAATAATAATTTTTAAAAGTAAACTAAAAACCCTGAAACGTCCAAGCCCTGACCACACGGCCTCCCCAGCCCAGCCTGCCCGTCTCCTCTCTCACTTCCCTAGCTCTCCCCGCTTACAGACTGACTGGACCACTCACGGGTCTCCGCAGACGTCACCCCCACCACAGTGTACCCCGTCATTCCCCTGGGCAGAGGCCACAGCCCCCCTCTATCCTCAGGTTCACTTCCAGACTACAAGTCACTTTGATTCTCAGAGCTTCCGTTCCCATCCGGAAACCGGGAAGAAACCAGTGCCCCTCGCAAAGGGCTGCTGTGGCGTGAAATCAGAGCACGCGGGAAACGCGGCCCCCAGCGCCGGACACGTGAGCTGAGGCGGTGCGGCGGCGGGGTTGGGGCGGGCGCTCTGGCTCCAGGGCCCTTGCTGAAGGCTCCCGGCACGTGGCCGCCGGGGTCACGCGCAGAACCACTTGATCCTGGTGTTGAACCGGAGCCCAGGAAGAAGGGGGGTGTGCGCCGGGCAGGGAGGTGCGGCCAGCGGGTGGATTAACCTTAACTGGCCCCACGCAGATGATGGCGGAGGATGGGGGGCAAGGGAGGGGTGAGGTCAGCGTGTGACGTCAACTGCGCTGAGCTGGCTGACCGGTCAGAGGGAGGGGCTGAGGGACGAAGCGGGGAGTCCGACATGAGCGTGCTGGGGAAGGGTTAGGGTTTTAGCCCTGAGAGGACTCGCCCGGGCGCGCAAGGCCAGGAGCAGCGCGCTTGCTGCGCACTTCTTGTGTGTCTGGGCTTCCCAGGTAGAGCTAGTGGTGAAGAACCCGCCTGCCAAGGCAGGAGACGTAAAAGACTTGAAGTCGATCCCTGGCTGGGGAAGATCCCCTGGAGGAGGGCCTGGCAACCCACTCCAGCACTCTTGCCTGGAGAATCTCATGGACAGAGGAGCCTGGCGTGCCAGTCCATGGGGTCGCAAAGAGTCGGACACAACTGAAGAACAACATGCAGTAGGTGAAAACACTGAGGCTCAGAGAAGTGAAGTGACTCGTCCGAGGTCACCCGGCTGGCAGGCAGCAGAAGGAAAACTCCAACCCAGAGGCGAGCCCTCTCCTCTCTGGAGCCGGCGGGGTAGACTCAATGCCAGGGACGGCGCTGGGCCTTCTTTCCAAGCTCAGGGGGCAGGATCCTGCGAGCCCGAGCCCACCTTCCATTGACCGCCTCCCCCCACGCCCTCCGCTTGGGGCCTGAACCACAACCTCGGGAGAGGCCGGCAACCACTGCCGCCCTCCTGGGAGGGCAGGGGGGTCGAGAGACCCCCGCAAATGGCGGAGGGGGGGGGGCACAGTCAGAGCTACCTCAAGCTTCTCCTCGGACTCCCCTTCCCCTTCCTTTCCGCACAAAACAGTGTGACTCGCAGTGCCTGGCGCGCTGGGGAAGCGTGAGCGTGTGCACGGGGTGGGCCGGGCGAGCACATGGGGTGGGCGGACAAGCACGTGCCGACGCTCACACCCAGGCAGGGACGGGGTGAGGGGGGGGGTCGGGTGTGTGTGTGTGGTGTGTGTGTGGTGTGTATGTGGTGTGTGGGGTGTGTGTGTGGTGTGTGTGTGGTGTGTGTGTGTGTGGTGTGTGTGTGTGTGGTGTGTGTGGTGTGGTGTGTGTGTGGTGTGTGGTGTGTGTGTGTGGTGTGTGTGTGGTGTGTGTGGTGTGTATGTGGTGTGTGGGGTGTGTGTGTGGTGTGTGTGTGTGGTGTGTGTGTGTGTGGTGTGTGTGTGTGGTGTGTGCGGTGTGTGTGTGTGTGTGGTGTGTGTGTGTGGTGTGTGTCTGTGTGGTGTGTGTGTGGTGTGTGTGTGTGGTGTGTGGTGTGTGTGTGTGTGTATGTGGTGTGTGTGTGTGGTGTGTGTGTGGTGTGTGTGTGTGTATGTGGTGTGTGTGTGTGGTGTGTGTGGTGTGTGTGTGTGTGTGTGTGTGGTGTGGGTGTGTGGTGTGGGTGTGTGGTGTGTGTGTGTGTGTGGTGTGTGTGTGTGTGGTGTGTGTGTGTGGTGTGTATAGTGTGTATGGTATGGGTGTGTGTTGGTGTGTGTTGTGTGTGTGTCTGTGGTGTGTGTGAATGTGTGTGTGTGTGGTGTGTGTGTGGTGTGTGTGTGTGGTGTGTGTGTGTGGTGTGTGGTGTGTGTGTGTGTGGTGTGTGTGTGGTGTGTGTGTGTGTGTGTGGTGTGTGTCTGGTGTGTGTATGTGTGGTGTGTGTCTGGTGTGTGTGTGTGGTGTGTGTGTGGTGTGTGTGTGTGTGTGTGTGTGGTGTGTGTGTGTGGTGTCTGTGGTGTGTGTGTGTGTGGTGTGTGTGGTGTGGTGTGTGTGTGGTGTGTGTGTGTGGTGTGTATAGTGTGTATGGTATGGGTGTGTGTTGGTGTGTGTTGTGTGTGTGTGTCTGTGGTGTGTGTGAATGTGTGTGTGTGTGTGGTGTGTGTGGTGTGTGTGTGTGTGGTGTGTGTGTGGTGTGTGGTGTGTGTGTGTGGGGTGTGTGTGTGGTGTGTGTGAATGTGTGTGTGGTGTGTGTCTGTGTGTGGTGTGTGGGGTGTGTGTGTGTGGTGTGTGTGTGGTGTGTGTGTGTGGTGTGTGTGTGGTGTGTGTGTGGGTGTGTGTGTGTGGTGTGTGGTGTGTGTGTGTTGATTTGTGTGTGTGTTGTGTGTGTGTGTGGTGTGTGTGAATGTGTGTGTGTGGTGTGTGTGTGTGTGGTGTGTGTGTGGGGTGTGTGTGTGGTGTGTGTGTGGTGTGTGTGTGTGTGGTGTGTGTGTGTGGTGTGTGTGTGTGTGTGGTGTGTGTGGTGTGGTGTGGTATGTGTGGTGTGTGTGGTGTGGTGTGGTATGTGTGGTGTGTGTGTGTGTGTGGTGTGTATGTGTGTGGTGTGTGTGTGGTGTATGTGTGGTGTGTGTGTGTGGTGTGTGTGTGTGTGTGGTCTGTGTGTGTGTGGTGTGTGTGTGGTGTGTGTGGTCTGTGTGTGTGTGTGGTGTGTGTGTGTGTGGTCTGTGTGTGTGTGTGGTGTGTGTGTGTGGTGTGTGTGTGGTGTGTGTGTGGTGTGTGTGGTGTGGTGTGGTATGTGTGGTGTGTGTGTGTGTGTGGTGTGTGTGTGTGTGGTGTGTGTGTGTGGTGTGTGTGTGTGTCTGTGTGTGTGTGGTGTCTGTGTGTGGTGTGTGTGTGTGGTGTATGTGTGTGTGGTGTGTGTGTGTGTGTGGTGTGTGGGGTGTGTGTGTTGTGTGTGTGTGTGGTGTGTGTGTGGTGTGTGTTTGTGTGTGTGGTTGTGTGTGTGTGGTGTGTGTGTGGTGTGTGTGTGTGTGTGTGGTGTATGTGTGTGTGTGGGGGGGGTGTGTGTGGTGTGTGTGTGTGGTGTGTGTGTGTGTGTGGTGTGTGTGTGTGTGGTGTGTGTGGTTGTGTGTGTGGTGTGTGTGTGTGTGGTGTGTGGTTGTGTGTGTGGGGGAGGTGTGTGGGGGGTGTGTGTGTGGTGTGTGTGTGGTGTGTGTGTGGTGTGTGTGGTGTGTGTGTGTGTGTGGTGTGTGTGTGTGTGGTGTGTGTGTGTGGTGTGTGTGTGGTGTGTGGTGTGTGTGTGTGGTGTGTGTGTGGTGTGTGTGTGTGGTGTGTGGTGTGTGTGTGTGGTGTGTGGTGTGTGTGTGGTGTGTGTGGTGTGTGTGGTGTGTGTGTGTGGTGTGTGTGTGTGGTGTGTGTGTGTGGTGTGTGTGTGGTGTGTGGGTGTGTGTGGTGTGTGTGTGGTGTGTGTGTGTGGTGTGTGTGTGTGTGTGGTGTGTGTGTGTGTGTGGTGTGTGTGGTGTGTGTGTGTGTGTGTGGTGTGTGGTGTGTGTGTGTGTGGTGTGTGGTGTGTGTTGTGTGTGTGTGTGTGGTGTGTGTGTGTGGTGTGTGTGTGTGGTGTGTGTGGTGTGTGTGTGGTGTGTGCGGTGTGTGTGTGTGGTGTGTGCGGTGTGTGTGTGGTGTGTGTGGTGTGTGTGTGTGGTGTGTGTGTGTGGTGTGTGTGTGTGTGTGTGTGTGTGTGTGTGTGTGTGTTAGCAGAGCTTCGGGGCAGAAGGCCTGGGTCTCAGCCCCAGCTTTGCCACTTGCTGACTTTGGATAAGTTTTCTCCAGTAAAACCCAAGAAATCCAGACTAAGGAGAGCCTCCATAAAAGAGAACTGTCACAGGGCAGACACCGCTGCAGTGCGCGTGGTGGGGCGCTATGGCGCCCGGGAGAATGCGCTGACTGTAGATGCTGCAAGCCTCTCGAGAACTGGGCAAAATGAGGTTTTCTTTTATAGCGAGGAGCAAACAAGGCTGCAAGGATCAGGTGTGGGAAGATGGATGAAAGGCTGGGGGGCGGGAAGGAGGGTACTGTTCTACCCTGAGGCCGGCCTATCCTCAGGATGGGTGGGGGCCACAGATCAGGGGTAAAAAGCATTTTGTTCTGATTGATCAGCAGAGACAAGTTATTCAGCTCATCATTTATCCGGCAAAGAATGGGAGTTGAGAGGGTCTGAGTCTGGCCTTGTCACGGAGAAACCAGCAGGGCATTCGTGAGTCTTAGCCATATGGGTGAGAGGAGGCCTTCCCAAGTGGCCTAGTGGTGAAGAAACCGCCTGCCAATGCCGGTGACATAGGAGACGCGGATGCCATCCCTGGGTCCGGGAAGATCCCCTGGAGGAGGGCATGGCAACCCGCTCCAGTGTTCTTGCCTGGAGAACCCCATGGACAGAGGAGCCTGGCGGGCTGCAGTGCATGGGGTCGCAAAGAGTCGGACACGACTGAAGTGACTTAGCACAGTGCGCACAGAGGCATGCGCGTGAGAGGGGCTCTGCACAGCAAACCACTTTCTGAAAGAAGAGGGGAGGGGATTTCTTTCTCTCTTTTGGGGAACGAAGATCCTGCATGCTGCATGGCACCACCAAAAAAAGAGAGCAGCTAACTTCTTCCACCTGGTAGGGGTTTCAGTATCTACAAAACAGCTCAAAGGACATGGCTCAGAATATTACATATATAGCTCATAAGATGGAACTGAAGATCCTGAGTTTGTTTTATCTCTAAACTATTATTTTTCCTTGTATGACTATTTTTCTTTGATTCTACTTTTTTTTTTCTCTCATTTCTCTGATTAACTTTGCTCTTTGGAACTCAGAGGAGGCCTAGGAGGCCAAAGCTTTTCTACAAACAAGAGGCGGGGGATACAGCAGGACCCTGCTCAGTCACAATACCTCTCTCGACTCCTGCATTCATTCATTCAGCACCTGCCATGAGTTGCATCCTGTCCTGGGACCAGTAGCACAGCAGTGAACAACACAGAGGGACTGAACCCTCCAGGATCCTAGTGTAGTTGGGGGAAGGGTGCAGGACAGACAGTTATCAGCACAAATAAGCAGGGCTGCCAGCTAAACTACAGGACACCCAGTTAAACTTGAACTTCAGATAAACAGTGAATAACTTTCCATGTCCCAAGCAATATTCTGGGGTAATTATCCATTGTTGATCTGAAATTCAAATTTAACTGCATGTCTTGGGGTTTTCCATCCCTACATACTGTCAGTTAGTAACAAGCTGAGGAAACTAAGCCAGTGTGACTGCAGTGTTACAAAGTGATGGGGGCTGGGTCTACCTTAGCTGCGTTGTCAGGGGAGCTGAGGCCTGAATCAGAAGGGAGGCCCCCAGCCCAGACTCCACCTCTAACCCATTCACCTCCAATTTCTTCCTTTCTTCAGCTGCATCCTGGCTTCTTAAGGTTAGACTCATTATCACTATTAAAAGAAAAATCTTAGGGACTTCCCTAGTGGTCCAGTAGTTAAGAATTCAGCTGCCAATGCAAGAGACAGGGGTTCGATCCCTGGTCTGGGATCTAGAGCCCGTGAACTGCAACAAGAGAAGCCACTGCAATGAGAATCCTCAGCACTGCAACTGGAGAAAGCCTGCACGCAGAAAAAATTAAAAAAGAAAAAAAAAACACTTTAGACTTTTTCCCAGGAGCCAGGCAAAAGCAGAGAGATTCAGTAACATCTGTAACAGGGTGGCCTCAAAAGAAAATCTTTGAACAAAGTTCAGAACAGAATCAAGCAGTAAATTCATCAGCTGAACGCAAACCCAGACACTGCAACTCAAACCTGACTTGAGAAATGGGGATGACATAAACTGAACTCACAGGAGCCAGGCTATATAACCACTCACGTTTTAGGTGATGGGAAATCTTGTTCACGAGATTATAAGTGGACTCATGTACCAGCAAGGTCACGGGCAAAAGCCTATATCTAAGCCCGAGGTTTCTGTGGACATGAGAGAATCTTAGAGGAGATGATTACCCCAGAATGGCTTGGGAAGTCAACCCCAAAATTTTCTTGGGGTGGCAAAATCCTGGGCATATGAGCCCACATCCCTTAAGCATGAGAAGAATTGAGTTTTTTTTTAAAAAAGAGATTCAAAAATATACTAGTTACACATTTGTGTTAAGAAATAACAGGTGCTGGTACTTCCCTGGTGGCCCAGTGGCTGAGACTGTGTGTTCCCAATGAAGGAGGCCCAGGTTCAATTTCTGGTCAGGGAACTAGATCCCACATGCCACAACTTGAAAGATCCCTCGTGCCACAGCTAAAACCCAGCTCAGCCAAGTAAGCAAATAAAAATTAAAAAAAATATATTTTTTAAAAGGAAATAATGGGTGCCAAAGTATATTAGATGCAGCAAGAGCATCCAAACTCTCTTAGAAACTTCATTTAATCTCATGTTAAATTCCTCAAATTCCTAAGAAAACAAAAATCGTGGCCATATGTGAGTATAATTATAATGCTACATTGCTTTCCAATCTTAGAGGCAAAAAATTTTAGAAGACTCATAATGAAATCAAATAAAGAGAGAATGTCCAAGATTAAAAAAAAAAGAAATGCTTGAAATCTTAAATATTTGTAATATTTAAAAGAATATGCTCTATGGGAATAACAGATTTTTCTTAAATTTCTAATTTAACACGCATAAATGAATCATTGATTGATTTAGACTTCTGATTTTCAAGTCAAAATCTTACTAAATTTGTCAACAGTACTAGAATAGCTATGAGAATTTAAATTCACCATATTTATAAATGTAATTATTAGGTTTCTAAGATCTATTTAAGTGCTTGAGTGTTTTGTCATTAAAGCAAGTAAAGTATTTTAAAAATAAATAATATATTAAATTTACATGTAGTTTAACATGTTTAAGCATATTTAATTAACCATTAATTATAATTAATTCTAAACATTCATCTAATGTCCCCTTAAAATTATTTTCAAAGTTGCTATATCCATAAAAGAAGCTTTTTAACCTAACTCAAAGGCCAAACGTGAGAGTGTTGGATTTATAAGTAGAATAAATTGAACATCATAAACGAATAACTTTTTAAAAGCAAAGGGGAGTCGGAAGACTTTTCTACTCAGAAAAGCTACCCTCAAGAGCACCCAAAGCCCACACCGACATCCATGTAACAATAACTCTGGAAGTTAAAATCGGGCCGCCCGCTCGCGCTGCCCCGGTGATTGTCGGGGGTCCCTGACCGTCCGGAGGGCCTGCGCCCTCCGCAAGGCCCGGCTCTCCGGGCTGCTCGCCACCTCCTCCGGACGCCCGTCCTCCTGGCCTCCGCCGCCCGGGGTGAGTCCCGCCCACCAGGGGCAGCGGCGGCCACTCCGGGCCGGGGGCTTTAGGTGGCTCGGCTCGTCTCGTCCTTACAACAGTCGCGTGGAGGAGATGTTTTCAGCCGCCTGCATTTTCAGCTGGCGGCGTGGGCACGGGCGGCCGACTCCAGGGTGCTCCCTGCTGCGTCGCGGCCAGCCCCCACGAAGACAGCGGCCCCTCCAGTGACCGCCTCGGAACGAGCCCCGCTCTGAGCGCCGAGGCGGAGGGTTTTGTGTCCTGGGCGCCCCCGTCGGAAGCTGGGCACGCGGCGCAGCCGTTCACAGCTGCTCAGAAAGGCGCTGGCGTGAGATGTTTACCCGGGAGAGGGGCAGAAAGACCCCCAGCCCCACGGCTTCTAGAACTTGCCCCTGACAGTCTTCCGACCTCCAGCCTGCCCCCGAGGCCAGCTCCACTGTGCCACCTGGACGCTCGTCCCGCCACTCGGAGCGCAGCCTCCCACCTGCTCTCGGGAGTCCCTCCCGCCTACCACGCCTGCAGCGGAGAGCTCTATTCCCCGCCGCCCAGAGGATGCAGCCAGGCTTCTCTGCGCTCTGGCACTCGAGGCCTCCGTAGCCTAGCCCCGGACGGTCTTCCTGGCCTCATCCCCGAAACGTGCCCCCACAGCTGGCCCAGAGCTTCCACGTTCCCCTTCCTTGGCTGTGCTCTGCCTCCTGACAGGAAGGCCCCTCCCCCCCTGCTTGTCAATCTCCTACCCAACCTTCACAGCTGAGCGCAAAGGCCACCTCTTCCAGGAAGCCTTCCCTTCTTCCCTTCGCTTGAACTAGCTTTTCCTTTCTCTGTTGAAGCAGAGGCTGTACATACCAGTCAGACTCCTAACAGCACTTGCATCTCTGCCTGAAGATTTTCTTTATGAGCAGACAGCAGGCCAGGAGTCCTGGGAACTACCCCAGCCCCCACCCAGACGCAGCCTTCTACCTGTGATTCAGTGGGAGGGTGGAGGGTGAACACCCCAGCTCCCTCACCCCTCGCTGGAATAACTGTGAGTTGTTGCTCAGTCGCTCAGTCGTGTCCGACTCTCTGCGACCCAATGGACTGCAGCACGCCAGGCCTCCCTGTCCTTCACCGGCTCCTGGAGTTGCTCAGACTCGTGCCCACTCAGGGCTGCACAGGCCACAGTAGCCCACCAAGGTGAGCCAGTTCACGCCACTCTCCTCGCCACCTCCCTGACGTTTATGCATTAGCTCCTCATTCTCCCACTGGTGTTTTCTGGGCCTGCCTCTCAAACAAACAAGTTGTGCTCAAGTGCTGCCACAGGACGTGCTTCCCAGGGACCCCTCGCCAGGCCATCCGTGCATCCTCACTCTGGTGCTTAGCTGATGCCTTTGCTGCAGCCCTACTCAGCAGAGGCCTTGTGTGACGACCATTAAAACCACAGGCAACGCATATATATGGAATTTAGAAAGATGGTAATGATAACCCTATATGCAAGACAGAAAAAGAGACACAGATATATAGAACAGACTTTTGGACTCTATGGGAGAAGGCGAGGGTAGGATGATCTGAGAGAACAGCATCGAAACATGTATATTATCAAGTGTGAAACAGATCACCAGTCCAGGTTGGATGCATGAGACAAGTGCTCGGGGCTGATGCACTGGGATGAACCAGAGGGATGGGATGGGGAGGGAGGCGGGAGGGGGGATCGGGATGGGGAACACATGTGAACCCATGGCTGATTCATGTCAGTGTATGGCAGAAACCACCACAATATTGTAAAGTAATGAAACCATGGGCAAGTGACTCACTTCCCTGGTGGCCCAGTGGTTAGGACTCTGCGCTCCCAAGGCAGGGGCCAGGGCTCCATCCCCGGGCAGAGAACTGGATCCCACATGCCAACTAAGTAAGACCCAACACAGGCAAGTTAAACAAATAAATATATTCTAAAAGTTTTTTTAAAAATCACAGGCAAGATGAATGCAACACTTTCTACTTTTTGTTAGCCCTATATATGTATTATTTCATTTAAACCATGACAACCTGGGAAGTAGGATCATGGTTATCCCATTTCACAAATGAGAAAATCAAGACTCAAGTAAAATGACTTGTCCAAGATCTCGAAAGTCAGCAAGTGTCAGACCTGGGGCTTAAATCCAAGAGAACTGCCTCTAGACATGGGGAATTTAACCATCTCATGGGGTGTAGCAGGAATAATTGCATGTCCAGGTAGTCCAGGACATAGGTCCACCCATAGTCCATAGGTGTCCACCTGTGTCCAGGTAGTTACAAACACCTAGGAAGGATTCTTAAAAAAGGGTGTGTGTGTGCATGCACCTTCTCCTGCCCAGCCCAATGCGTGGCACATGCTCAGTGACTGTTTATCTCAGTGATTATTTATTAAGTGCTCTATTAGTGACACTTATAATTTATTAAGTGACGCTTATTATTTATTAAGTGTCAGAGTGAATCAACAACCAAAGCCCACGGGGTCTTGTCTCGTTATGACAAGACCGGCGAAAAGGATGAAGCCCAAGGGCCCTGCTCTGCTCTCGGTCGGCTCGGGCAGGCCACTGACACTCTCTGGGTCTCGCTGCCCCTTCTCTGGGTTCCCAGGTGGCTGAGTGGGTAAAGACTCCGCCTGCCGTGCAGGAGAGGCAGGCAGGTGAGGGCTCCATCCTCAGTTGCCCCGCTGTCCAGGGAGAGGGCCCCCTCTAAGGATTCACACTGAATCCCTGAACCCTGGCCCCACCCCGCTGTGGGAGACAGGGTCCCAAAAACTAGAGAAAGGAGCCGAGTGGGGCTGGGCCGAGGCAGGAGGCATCCTTGAGCGATCAGCTTCTTGCAGGTGAGGTGAGGAAGAAAAAACAAAAACAAAAAAAAGAAATCCTCCCGCCTTCCTGCTTCTAAAGTGGGGGTCTGGCGCCACCTCGTGGCCACCACCTCTTCCAACCTCCACCTTTTCTCGTCTGCATCTTCTTTCCCTAGACTCCACTGTTGCCTTGGGGAACTCCAGAGCAATTCCACTCTCCTCACCAAGTATGTACCTACTGTGCCCAGACCCCAGGGCTCAACCAGGAGCAACGATCACAGACAACGTTCCAACAGTTCCTGCCTAACAGTTTAGAAGCGTCTGGACCAGCAATTCCAGTAGAAATAGAATGCAACTCACAAGTTCACGACTCATGTGTACTTTTAGATTTTCTAGTAGCCACATTTCAAAATTGATGGGTGAAATTAATTTGAATAATATTTTATATAATCCAGTAAATCCAAAATATTATCATTTCAACATGTAGTCAATATGTTTTCAATTACCTTTTCTTTTTCTTACAAACTGTTTGAAATCTCACAGAGACTTCACAGAGCATCTCAGTTTGGACTAGCCAGATTTCAAGTGTCCAGTGGCCCTGGATGTCAGCAGCTACCTACCATGCTGGGCAGCACAGGTCTACACAGACCAGTCAGCCTCCTCTGGCCCTTGGCAGCTCTTCAGAGATTCGAACCATCACATCTTCTTCAGGGTCTGCATTTGTAGCTTGCTTTAGAGGCGTGGAAGGAGTAACAGACCAGGTTCCTTCCTCCCACTGAGCTGGGTTTGAATCTCAGCACTTAGGGACAGGACCACCTGCAAGTCATTTCATCCTTTGAAATGTAAAAGGAGGCTGCCTCTGGGGCTGTAGCAAGAATGCCTGGCAAGGGCATGACCCATAAATGGGGTGGTGACCCCGGCGTCAGAGCCTTAGCCCACTTTTTGGCACAGTTGCACGCCTGTGTGCTCAGTCACTTCAGTCATGTCCAACTCTTTGCAACCACATGGACCGTAGCCCACCAGGCTCCTCTGTCCATGGGATTCTCCAAGCCAGAATCCTGGCATGGGTTGCCCTTTCCTTCTCCAGGGGATCTTCCTGACCCAGGAATCGAACCCATGTCTCTCATGTCTCCTGCATTGGCAGGCAGATTCTTTACCACTGGCGCCACCTGGGAAGCCCTCTGGCATGGTTAAGGATGGTTAGTTTTACAAGTCGATGTGGCTCCCCAGTTGCCTACTCAGACACAGACTAGGTGTTGCTGTGAAGGTATTTTTTAGATATGGTTAACATTTAAATCCATAGATTTAGTGAGAAGCAGCTTGCCCTCCCCACCACCACCACCTCATACTGTGGACGGGCCTCATCCAATCAGTTGAAGGCCTTTTGAGCAAAGACTGAGGTTTCTGGAAGAAGAAGAAATTCTGTCTCAAGAATACATCATACAGGGACTTCCCTGGTGGTCCGATGGCTAAGACCATGCCCCCAGTGCAGGGCCCTGGGTACGACCCCTGGTCTGGGAACCAGATTCCACACACGACAACTGAAGGTCCCGCATACTGCAACTAAGACCCAGTGAAGCCAAATAAATATCTTTAAAAGGGGGAGGTGGGGACTTCCTGGAGGTTCCGTGATTCATCAGAGTCTGCCTCCCAATGCCGGGCACACGGGTCTGAACCCTGGTATGGCTCACAGGCTACGAGGCTTCTAAGCCCTCTCTCCACACTACTGAGCCCAGGCCACAGCTAGAGAGAAGCCTGCAACGTTGATGAAAGCACCCGCATGCCACAGCAACTCAGACCCAACACAGCCAAAAAAAAAAAAAAAAAAAGAATACATCACAGAAACCCTGCCTGAATGTCCAGCCTGCAGATTTCAGACTCGAGGCTGTGGCATCAATTCTCCCCCAATTGCCAGCCAGCCTGCCTACTTGACAAACTTCAGAATGGCCAGCCCCCACAACCGCATGAAGCAATTCCTTAAAATAAATGTCTGTAGGTGACAGTCGTCCCGGAAGGCTTTGAAGGGTGAGTATAGAGCAGGACACAGGCCCCTCATTCTGAATGCCTGTGGTATTAGCGGCTGAAGAACAGCCTTGCTCCAGCCGCTGGCATAAATATAATAGTGCAACACCCCAGCCCTGTAACTGTAACTGTGTTAGTTGCTCAGTCCTGTCTGACTCTTTGTGACTCCATGGACTGTAGCCCGCCAGGCTCCTCTGTCCATGGCATTTTCCAGGCAAGAATAGTGGAGTGGGTAGCCATTCCCTTCTCCAGGGAAGCTTCCTAACTCAGGGATCGAACCTGGATTTCCTGCATTGCAGGCAGATTCTTGACCATCTGAGCCACCAGGGAAGCCCCAGGCCTGCCCTCCCTGTAAGTGAAATATCCAGCAGGACCAAGGGCTGGAACGGAAGGAGAATGAATCCTGCATCCCAGAGCCTGTCCTTCACTGACCGGCCAGCGACCCCTTCCGAGGGGGTGGGCTGAGAGGGTGGCCTTGGCTGGGGAAAGGGGCTACGAGGGCCCGAACAGAGACCCAGGATGTGGGGAGCTGCTCTTGAGGGCAGAGTTGGGGGTTGAGGAGGTCCCTGGGCCCAGAGAAGCTGCCTTGGGGACAATGACCCAGGCCCCATCACCTCAGCACTCTGGCCTCTTGTCAGAACTCCTGCTGAATTCAGCCCTGCGTGGCAGGCAGAGTGGTCTGCCTAAAGCGTCTGCCACATCACTGCCTCTGCTGTGACGGCCCAGGCCCGTCGCCTCACTGCTCTGGCTGGCCTCGCGTCAGAACCTGTGGACTTTGGCTCTCATGGCAGCCACAGCGATTTTCTAAAGCGCGCATCAGGTCATTGCCTTGTGTCAAGGTCCTTCCCCAGCTTTCCTGCGACCTTGAGATAAAATCAGGTCCTTTATGGACATAAGATAGGGCCTGGTGTGACGTGGCTGTGGCAGCCAGCCTCTCCCCA